TCAAAGGGAGTCTGGATGATACGCACATTAATGTGAAAGAACAAGACTATCAAAGAGAGTCCTGGATGATACGCACATTAATGTGAAAAGAGAACAAGACTATCAAAGAGAGTCCTGGATGATACACATTAATGTGAAAGAGAATAAGACTATCAAAGAGAGTCCTGGATGATACCCACATTGTTAAAGAGAACAAGACTATCAAAGAGAGTGATAGATGAGTTAACACATTAATGTGAAGAGAACGAGGAGTTAACAAAGAGTATCCTGGATGATACGGTTATTAATGTGAAAGAGAACAAGACTATCAAAGAGAGTCCTGATGACAGAGAGATTACAGATAAAAGAGAACAAGACTATCAAAGAGAGTCCTTGATGATACCCAAGATTAAGTGTGAAAGAGAACAAGAGAGATATCAAAGAGAAAGTCCTGGATGATACGCACATTAATCGTGAAAAGAACAAGAGTTAACAAAGAGAGAGGATAGATACTCAGCTAAAGAGAGGATAGATAACAGGAGTTAACAGAGAGTGATAGATAACTGAGATAACAGAGAGAGATAGATAACCGAGTTAACAGAGAGAGTGATAGATAACCGAGTTAACAGAGAGATGATAGATAACCGAGTTAACAGAGAGAGTGATAGATAGCCGAGTTAACAGAGAGAGTGATAGATAACCGAGTTAACAGATGATATAACCGAGTTAACAGAGAGAGTGATAGATAACCGAGTTAATAGAGAGAGTGATAGATAACCGAGTTAACAGAGAGAGTGATAGATAACCGAGTTAGAGAGAGTGATAGATAACTGAGTTAACAGAGAGAGTGATAGATAACCGAGTTAACAGAGAGAGTGGATAGATAACTGAGTTAACAGAGAGAGTGATAGATAAACTGAGTTAACAGAGAGAGTGATAGATAACCGAGTTAACAGAGAGAGTGATAGATAACCGAGTTAACAGAGAGTGATAGATAACTGAGTTAACAGAGAGAGTGATAGATAACCGAGTTAACAGAGAGAGTGAGATAAACTGAGTTAACAGAGAGTGATAGATAACCGAGTTAACAGGAGAGTGATAATAAAAGAGTTAAGAGAGAGTGATAGAAACCGAGTTAACAGAGAGAGTGATAGATAACCGAGTTAACAGAGTGGAGGATAAACCGAGTTAACAGAGAGATAGAAAGATAAGAGAATTAACTGAGATAAGAACAGAGAGTGATAGATAACCGAGTTAACAGAGAGAGTGATAGATAACCGAGTTAACAGAGAGAGTGATAGATAACCGAGTTAACAGAGAGAGTGATAGATAACCGAGTTAACAGAGAGAGTGATAGATAACCGAGTTAACAGAGAGAGTGAGATAAGAAATAGAATAACTGAGATAAGAGAGTTAACAGAGAGAGTGATAGATAACTGAGTTAAGAGAGAGTGATAGATAAATTAATAGAGAGAGAGAAAGAGAGAGGATAGATATACTGAGTTAACAGAGAGAGATAGATAACCGAGTTAACAGAGAGAGAGGAGAGAGAGAGTGATAGATAAACCGAGTTAACAGAGAGAGGATAGATAACCGAGTGAATAGAGAGAGAGATAGATAAGATAACAGAGATTAATAGGCTGAGATACCGAATTAACAGAGAGAGATAAAAGAATTAATAGAGAGAGTGATAGATAAATTCGAGTTAACAGAGAGAGTGATAGATAAGAGACAGAGAGTTAACAGAGAGAGATAGAGATAGAAACTGAGATAACAGGAGAGAGTGATAGAAACCGAGTTAACAGAGAGAGGATAGAATAAACTGAGTTAACAGAGAGAGGATACATAAATGAGGTAACAGAGAGTGATAGATAAACTGAGTTAATAGAGAGAGTGATAGATAACCGAGTTAAAGAGAGAGTGATAGACAAATCGAGTTAATTAGAGAGAGGATAAATAACCGAGTTAACAGAGAGAGGATAGATTACCGAGTTAACAGAGAGATATCTGATAGATAACCGATTTAATAGAGAGAGGATAGATAATGAGTTAACAGAGAGTGATAGAAACCGAGTAAAGAATGATACTAACATTAGAGAGAAAGATAGACAAGACGAGTTAAAGAGAGAGTGATAGATAACGGAGTTAACAGAGAGAGTGATAGATAACGGAGTTAACAGAGAGAGTGATAGATAACGGAGTTAACAGAGAGAGTGATAGATAACTCGAGTTAACAGAGAGAGTGATAGATAACCGAGTTAACAGAGAGAGAGTGATAGATAACGAGTTAACAGAGAGAGTGATAGATAAACGGAGTTAATAGAGAGAGTGATAGATAACGGAGTTAACAGAGAGAGTGATAGGATAACGGAGTTAACAGAGAGAGTGATAGATAACGGAGTTAACAGAGAGAGTGATAGATAACGGAGTTAAGAGAGAGACAGATAACAGAGATAACAGAGAGAGTGATAGATAACAGAGATAACAGAGAGAGATAGATAACAGAGATAACAGAGAGTGATAGATAACGGAGATAACAGAGAGAGTGATAGATAACGGAGATAACAGAGAGAGTGATAGATAACGGAGATAACAGAGAGAGTGATAGATAACGGAGATAACAGAGATAGATAACAGATAGAGATAACAGAGAGAGATAGATAACATAGAGAGATAACAGAGAGTCAGAGATGACAGAGAGTCAGAGATGACAGAGATAGAGAGATAGATAACAGAGCGATAGAGAGATAGATAACAGCGATAGAGAGAGAGAGAGAGAGAGAGAGAGATATATATATATAGATATATATATATAGAGAGAGAGACTCAGAGATAGAGAGAGATAGAGAGATATAGAGAGATATAGAGAGAGAGATGTGAACAGACAGATAAGAATTAACAGGCTGAGATAGATAAAAATTAACAGACTGAGGATGTGAAAAGACTGAGATAAGAATTGATACATACATACATATATAGGTTCAAATTCTGCTGGAGAGCACATTTTCTTGTGTACACAGGTTGATAAATTAATCAAACATGGTTATCCACAAAAAATAACATTTGAAATAATAAAAATATGTTGGATTAAAAAATAACATCCATTAATTCTTCACAAATATATATCTATTTTTGAAATCATTTTCAGGTAAGGGATAATTAACATTTTCTTTGTGGTTGATAATGGATAATACATTAAAGAGAATAAGATTTATCAAAGAGAGATGATCCTGGATTAAAAATAAACCCACATTATGATGCCCAAATTAAAGAGAATTTTTGAAGACTATCAAAGAGAGTCCTGGATGATACGCACATTAATGTGAAAGAGAATAAGACTATCAAAGAGAGTCCTGGATGATACCCACATTAATGTGAAAGAGAATAAGACTATCAAAGAGAGTCCTGGATGATACGCACATTAATGTGAAAGAGAACAAGACTATCAAAGAGAGTCCTGGACGATGGAATTAATGAAAGAGAATAAGACTATCAAAGAGAGTCCTGGATGATACCCACATTAATGTGAAATTAACTAGTAGTGTGTTTATTCAACACAACCTTCATTACATGATTTTATAGGAACAATTGGATTAAGCCAAATATTAGTCCAGAGAAATCAGTTCTAGAGTTTGTGGAGAAAGCTGACAAGCCAAACCCATTTAAATGTCTTTGAGATATCTATAGCCACAGCCAGACTTCACCATTCTCAGATTGGTAAAAAAATTCAGTGATATTTGTTAGCACAATGCCAGTAAATCTGAAGAAACAATAGCCATAATGTTTATCCAAAATGAGGCCATGTGAAGTGAGAGTTTCTACACACACACACACACACACACACACACAAAATATATCATCATCAGGGTTAAGCACCCACATTTTTTTTAGCAATAGCTGATATACGGGTGGATTGCATTCCTGATTTTGGATTCAGACTTCTTTTAGATTTGCTGCCAAACAAACACCAAAGTAATATATATATGTTTACATTTACACACACACGTATATATGTATGTGTGTATATATATACACACACACGTATATATGTATGTGTGTGTGTATATATATATATATATATATATAATTCTCTAAATGTGTATGTGTGTGTGTTTATGCATTTCCACAATTTTCATCTTATTTTGATGAAATTTTTTTTGTCTGAGAGATAATTCTTCAGTGCCAATTTTGAGCCCAAATTGGCTGGAAAAAATTACAAACTTGAAGGTGAAAAAACTGATTTTTAAACTTTGCACAAAAATCAAAGACAAAACTTAATTTACTTTTTCACGCATAACCTTCCAATCCTAGCTCATGCTGTGTGGACATGATTCACACCTCCACTTATTCCCATCGGTTGCCGCTGACCTTGATAATTAGTGTGTGCAGCAACATGTTTATGTTTAGCCCTGCAACACACACTGTCACACAATGTGTCATGCGCTGATGCACACACATATGCATGTTGCCATGTCATACTTTTTGTCTACGCAACCCTAAGCTCATTGCTACCACTGAATCCCGCAATTCCACTTCTACTTCTGTACATCCAGCCCTGCTTACACATTCCTCTTCCCTTAGCCAAGCTTCAATCTCTCTCAAATGAGGTTACCTTTTCCATTACACAAAGCCTACTACTACAGTTTTAAGGCGTTGTTTTCATTGTCGTTTATAGCTATTCCCAATTTAATTTTTTTTATTGTTCTGCCAGTTTTTGCATTGCATTCTCCATAGTAATTAGTAAGCTTGTTTTTTTTTTTTTATTACTTAACATTTATTTTTCCAGCCTTTCATAAAGTCATTTGAGCTTAGTGAGCCCTGTAGCTTTACAACATTCTCTTCTGGTATTTGCCCATGCATTCCATTTGACAATTCATACTTACTTAAGATATGCCACCAAAGAATCCACCATGTGAATAAGAGATAATGAATCATCTTTAGAACGTTCAGTTCCCGTCTCAAAATGCCCCTCAGAGTGCTTCAGTCGGAGCCACTTAGTCCTAAGATCAACATAGCCATCACCTTTCCAGAAGAGCATATCTGAAACCCACATTCAAATTGTTAATCCCCCCCATTTGGGGATGTGTCTCAGTTGCACTCAACTATTGTTACTTATGTTGATTTTTGAGTGGGCTGACTTTAAACTTAAACTGATCAAATTGAATGGCAAAAATTCCCAGTAAAGAAAGACATGGCTGAAGACAGGTTTTACTGCTAGTGTGTGTGTGTGTGTGTGTATATATATATATATATATATATATATATATATATATATATATGTGTGTGTGTGTGTGTGTACTCAACTCACCCGTCAATTTTTTTTTTCAACGTATGAGGGTCAAGTAGATCAGTTCCCAGGAAACTGACCGTCCAACAACAGCACGTGACATTTGATTATAGTGCTGAAGGTTTCATGCAGGACCATCCACACTTTTTGAAGGGACATCTGTCAATGTCTAAGAGATTACCTGACTTCTCTCTTACCTGGTTGTTTATATAAATGTCTATCTTATTTCCATTCTTGTAAATGCAGCTGTGAGGTCATATGCTTCTGCATTCGACAGTTTGGAATAACTCCAGAATAACTCAATATCTGGCTTCCTTGGTATGGTTTGAAATTGAGTGCAAATCCTATTCTGGCATAATACTTGGATGCAATTCTCTATGTCAATGTTTTGGATATGACTATAACAGTAACAGATTCTGACTTTTATTATAAATAAAAAGAAATTATAAACATTTTTTTAATCTGTAGAATAACAATACAATAAACTGCACTTACCGGCATAAAGGTCCCAGCTAGCGTCCAGCTGGCAGACAAAAATAAAGCAGGTTGTAACTTAATGAATCAAGCTGGTATTTATATAGAAATACCTCCACTCAGGTACCAGCAGCCAATCACAGCCCAAGCAATGGACTATCCCACTTTAGCACAATGAGATGCTCCATGGCACCATAAATAGCTCTCTTTCTCAAGGTTGAATTATTATTCACTTAGTTTCTTGGCCTTCTTCTGACCGGTTGTGTGTGTGATTGTTTTTCTGTGTGACGAGTTTGGCCCGCTAGAAAGTGATCAAGTAAATTTACGAAGATTTGCAGGAACCCTTCTGGATTGACAAACTTTAAGTCTTTTTCTGTTAAGTTTTTGTTTTAAGTTTTATTTTTTATTTCTTCTATTTCTTTTGTTGTTTTTATTTTTCTGGGCTTCGGCCCTCAAATTTTTTTTTTTTTTTTTTAGTCCGGTTTGACTAAGTCTTACCGGACGACTGCCTTTTTATTTCTGTTTATTTCTGTTTAGTTTTTGTTTTAATTAGTACAGCTCAAGGAAAAAAAGAAAGGAAAACTTTTTGGTTTTTATTTTTATTTATTTAATTAGCGACCTTGGTTGCATTCTTTCTCTTTTTGGTTTGACTAGTTTGTTTTTTCATTTGCTTTTTAATTTATTTTCTTTTATCGGTTTCTTGAAAAACCTTTATTTTTATTTTCTTTTTCCTTTTTGTACTTTTTTGAATTTTAGAAAAAAACAAAAAAGAGAGGAGTTTTTTTTCGGCTGCCTTCGGGCGCCATTTTATTTTTTTAAAAAATAGTCTTACCTGTTTATTTTCTTTCCGTTTATCTAGTTTGTCATTTATTTTATTTTATTTTTAGTTTATTTTAATTTTTAATTTCCTGGGTTATCCAGGCTTTCTTTATTTGTTTTATTTTTTTTTCTCCCCAGCTCCTCTCCCCGTGTTTGTGGAAAATCTCCCGCTAGTGGTAGTCTCCACGCTTTACCAACATGGCCGACGAAAAAAGTCGGTCGGTTGTAAAAGACCTCTTTGGGAAGGCTGCTAACGCCGACCAGCCTGACAAAACGGCAAAAAAGCGGGCTGATGGTAGCCCCAAATCTGCTCAGTCGAGTATCTCAAGAAAGGAGATAATTCTAAGAATGACGACGTGCCGAAGGAAAACAAATAAGACGTCCGAGGATTTGCCCTCCTGCTGGAAGTCCCCCCCCTAGTTGTATTTTGAACATGGCGGATTTCCTGGATAAGGCGAAAGGCTACGCCCATCTTGTTAACAAAGATGGGTTCGTCGATGTGGTCCAGGAACTCGATGTGTTCGCAAAGAGAATGGTGACCGTTTTTGTGGTGGACAAGAAAACTCGTAAGATTTGTCGCTCCACAAAAGACACTGTGATTAAATCACTTTTTGTCCTTGGGGATAAAACCCCAAAGAGTAATAAAGGGTACTGGGTTCTTCATGTGGGACATTCTGCTACCCACACCAGAAGATTGCCTGGCCATGGCCAAAAAGAATTAATAACGAAAGATTTGATTATAAGAACTGAATACGAAGGCCGCAGGCGGACCAGGGTGGCTGTTTTGAGGTTCCTCCTCAAATTTCAGGAGAGCTCCCTGGCTGCATTTTTTATGCAGTACGGCCAAATTTTAGGGCTCTTCTGATAATTTGAACGGGGATGGACTTTCGATATAATGCTCGACCAGGAGGCCTTCAAGTCCGTCCCCAACTGTTTGGTGTTTGGCGACCGGAAAATGCCGGTCATAGTGACTGGTAGGCGACCAACTTGCTGGAGGTGTGGAGAGACTGGTCACCTTTCCTCCTCCTGCCCAGGGAAGAAGGCCCTGGAGGTCCGGTCGCAGGTGACCAAAATCCCCCCTTGGCCG